CTTTAGTTCCCTATCGGGATTACAAAATTAAACTCAAATGTTATTCTCATATCCGTTTACTTAGAGAGAGCTGTGATATTTCCATACTTCATTATATGTATTCACCCAACAGGCATATAATACAGAGCTTCTCCAACATATAGTTCCTGAAATACATATGTCACATTCAAATGACTGCCCTCGTCAAGACCTTATTTCCCAACAGTCCTAGAAACAGACTGGAGCTGCCTTATCTGCCTACAGCCAATGGTTCTGCCTTTAGGCCTCTCCCTGGGGAACTATAATTCTAGCTTCATTACGTCACTGTCCTGCCTTCCCTTAGATGTCAGATAAATCCACATCTCTTGCCTCTCAGGGCTCTGAGGTGTGCCTGGAAACCCTGCTGGGCACAAACTCTGAGGAAGGAAGAATCTAAGAAGTAAGCAGTTCATTATTTGCAGTGAAGATGTCTTTGCTTTCATGTAGCCTTTCTCTCTGATTCCTGAGTCTATCTGCAAAAGTGACTAGCAATGCTTTGTAGTTTGAAACAGTGGATAGACACTTGAATAAAAAATGCTAATTTAAAATAGCAAGAAGAGAGTATTTCTCATAGAATTCACAGCCTCTGCTGTTCTGCTTTTTTAGAAGGGAAAAGTATTCCATTAGAAGAAAACTCAATGCATCTATAAAAATAGAACTTCCCACTGGATTCTGAATAGCTGATATTCCACAGGAAGCATGAGCAAGTACCAAGCTGCCAAAACCACCATCAGAAGGACAAACACAGGGACATTCCTTCTTCAGGACTTCAAGGAGTCATCTTATCTCAGAACTGATTGGCCAAGTGACTTTCAATTTTCCCATATGAGTATTTCATTGACATCTTTATGATCATACTTTTCTAAACTATGTTTAAAATGTGCATTTTCTAAAGCTACTTACTTTTCCTATTTACAGATTAACACCACAACGATTAGATAATTTAGAGGAATTACATATGTATATCCATTAATCTCTTTTTAGTCATTGAAAATCTACAGTTTCAATCATTGTTTCCCAACTGTCTCTAAAACTGAGTGCTTTACTGGATTGTGTTTAACTAGTTTATTAATCTCATTTACTGGCAAAACATTTTCATGAGAACTGCCCATAACTCTCCTCTTAAACTTTAAATATTGAAGAATAATTGGCAAAGAGTCTGAGCTCTTCACTCTAGAACCAGAGGTCCAACAGCCTGATGCAGCATATTTCATGATACTATGGTTCAAATGTAAACTTTCACCTTCAGGAGGCTCTACACTTGGTTTCAGACCCATTAATAACACAACAAATATCGTTACTACAGATACGATCCACTGTAATTGAAAATCTTATTTTGTTTTCACATGAACTGCTTTCTTTATATGTTCTGCACTAACTATTAAGTGCTGAATAAAAAAACTGGTACGTGAAAAAATAAACTTACTATTCTAAACCATGTGATTCTTATCATCCCCTCCATTTAGTAAGGAATATAGAAATCTATAAAACTTAAAATGCAGCTATAAATAACTTGATGACTCTGGAAAAATGGCATGGCATGAGAAGAAGGGTGCCTTCCTTTGACATTTGACCAATGCTGAAGTGCTTCTTGGAGAGAAGGAGATCAGAATATGCCACCCCAAAACATGCCACTTTGGCATAACGATTATTTTGAACTAAAGGCAACTGAGAATCAACAAACAAAGGAAGAGTTCTCTACCCTCCCCTTATCTGGCTAAAAGCAGGCCATAAATTTCCCTTTAAGGAAGGTGTCTGCTCTGTGTACCAGGGAAAGAAGAATGATTTGTATCATCTAAGACAAAGGGTTGACACCCCGAGGCTAACTGCTTCTTTTAGTTTCACTTCTTTTCTATGAACTCCCCTGCACATAAATATTAAAAAAAATTGTGTGCCTTGTCTCCTGTTAATCAGTCTTCTGTTAGTTTAATTCATGCCTTCATGTCCTGAACTTAAGAGGGCAGAGGAAAAGTTTTTGTTCTCTGATAGAGCTGCGATCAAACCCAATTCTGAGTGATGGTACTTAAGTAATGAACATTAGGAGATGTGCTTTTCACTCCAGCATTCATCAGAGCAAAAAGGATATATCCCAGTTTATACTACCATACCCTTGATTTACATACAAAGGAGATCTACAAAATAAATCTATCAAGAAATAAAATAATGTAAATAAACATAAATAAATCTATCAAGAAATAAAATAAAAAAGAAACAAGTCTAAAAAAACAGAGTAGACGCATTTCTTCCACTAAATACAGAAAAAAAAAATCCCTGTGCTTTCAGTGCCCCCCCCAGCAGTAAGGAGACACACCCTTGGGTGGTCAACGGAGCCTGAGAAGGAAACCTGGGCTCCCACCTCCACCTGTCAAGTGATAACATGGCACCTCCTTACTCCTGGCCAGTGTGGTATCAGAGGAGGTCTGCTAAAAAGATTTAAACTAAATCCAGAGTCTCAAATTAATCCAAAATGTCCAGGATATAATAAAAATCATTTATCAAATCAAGAACCAGGAAAATCTCAATATGAAAAAAATCAGTGAACAGACACCAATCACAAGATGACAATGCTGATGGAATGATTTGACAAGGATTTTTAATCAGCCATAATAAAAATGCTTCAGAAAGCAATTATGAATAGACTTGAAATAAATGAAAAAAAAAGTCTCAACAAAGAAATAGAGGATATATAGAAGAACCAAAAGGCAATGGTAGAACTGAAAAAAATACAGTAACTGAAATTAAAAACTCAATGGATGAGCTCAACAGCAGAATGGAAAAAAAAAATGAGGAAAAGATTACTGAAAATGAAGAGAGAACAATAGAAACTACCCAATCTGAACAACAGAAATAAAATAATATGAAAAAAAAAAAACAACAGAGCCTCAGGGACTAACAGGACTATAACAAAGATCTAACATTCATGTCATTAGAGTTCCAGAAGGAGAGGAGCAAGAAAGTGAGGCTGAAATAGTATTTAAAGAAACAATGTTTAAAAATTTCTCAAGTTTGGCAGAAGATATAAAACTACATATTCAAGAGGTTAAGTGAACACCAAATAAACTCTAAGAAATTCAAGCCAAGACACATCACAGTCAAACTTTTAAAAACTACAGACAAAGGAAAAAATTTTAAAGCAGTCAGAGAGAAATAATACCTTATGCTTAGGGGAAAAGCAATTAGAATGACAGAAGATATCTTATCAAAAACCAAAGAAGTGAGAAGGAATTGGCACAACATTAAAATAAAATAACTGTCAACCTAGAATTCTATACCTAACAAAACTACCCTTCAGGAATGAAGGGAAAATCAAGACATTCTCAGAAAAACAAAAACTAAGAATTTGTTGCTAGCATATCTACTCTAAAAGAACGGCTAAAGAAGTTCTTACAGAATAAAAGAAATCACATAAGAAGGAATCTTGGAATATCAAGAAGGAAGAAAGAACAATGGAAAAAGTAAACATATGAGCTCCGAGACAGACTGAAGAAGAATGACTATGCAACATGGAGTAGTGCCAAACTCCAGCCACGTGAACAAGCCATGGGTGGACTGTGGCTGTGGAGAGCAGCCTGTGCAGCAGGATTGTGCATAATCAGAGGTTTACTCTCTATTCTCCAGCATACACATGGATCACCAAAATGGCAGACATCTCTGGCTGCCCACCCAACAGGCAAGACTCCCCTTTAATCTACATGTCAATGCCATGATTTAGTTCTTAACTGAGCATTCATATGATTCAGGGGAGGCCAGTTCCCTCTGAAACATACAGATTGAATTTACAATTGCTTAAAGTCAATTGCTGCAATTCCATTCCCTTAACCAACACTTGGTTCAGCTATGGGCCTGAGAAGCAATTCTAAATAAGAATTCATTAACATATCTTCTGAGGAACTACAGAAAATAATACTTTTTTCTAATTTATTCTCCAAAGATCACATTAAAATGCTAAAGAATAAGGAGTCCATTATATGAATTTACCATAATCATACAACTGTTTCTCTATTATTGGCTCCTTAAGTTGGTTTTCTTTCTTTTCTTTTTTTCCCATTATAAAGGACGATGCAATGAACATCGTTCAGCATAAAGGTTTATCCAAATTTAGAATATATTTTCTATGGATTTTGCTCCTAAAAGTGAAATTATTATGTCAAATAATACAGACATTTCTGGTATATAGTATCAAATTGATTTCCAGAAAGTGTGTTATCAATAAAATCCCAGCCATGTGAGTGGCCTGTCTCACTCTATCTCATCCAGCCAGAGCAGGTGCCATGGATTGCTCCTCAAGAGTCCTTATTTCCCTTCGTTCTCGCTAATAGAGCCTCAGCTTATGAATCCTGATTGGTCCAACTCGATTTGGCAACCTCAATCCCCTTGCCAGTGGCTGGGTAGGGGTGGGCATGTGAGTCCTGGCCAATGAGATGAAATGCGAGATTTTATAGGGTAAATTTTTCATTCTAAAAAGGAACAAGAGACAGTGTCTTCCACTGGGCATTACCATGCCTGCATGTAATAATGTGAATCATACCAGTCTGAGAACAAAGTCAATAAGTTGGCATAAAAGATGGGAGTTTGATGATATTGTTGAACCCCTGAATTAACCAACCTCAATGATCTTTCTTGAGTCTTCTTTTTATATAAGATAACAAATTATACATATTCTTAAAAAATTCAGTGGAAAATTATGTTTATGTCAGCCACTTTCATACCCCAAGGTAAAACTGAGAACTATTTATGAATATCACAGTGAACAATCCAAAAGGAAACCGACTCATAAGTGTTTGACTTATAAAGATTAACTTAAATTTTAAATAAACACTGCCTCTTTCCAGAAGAATTAGAGGTGAGTGTTATTTGAAGAACATTTAAAAAACATTATAGGGTCATTAATTTGAACTGTAAATTGGTGAAAAATCATGTTTAATTCAAAATGGATTTCAAACAGAGAGCAAAAATAAGTGAACTCAGTGTACTGTACTTACAAATCAAACACCAAGTAATGGAAGCCCTCTTCCGATATGCTGTCATGAAGTCGCACTAAAAAAGAAAAAAGAGGAGAAAGCTGTGTCACAGACATGCCATGATCAATGTTAAACCAGACTTCTAATGGGCATCTGTCTCCTAACTAAAAATGTTGGCCTCACTCTTTATTTTAGCCTCTGATAGGTCAGCCTCCTTTACAGCAGGGCTTGAGTTCAGACAGACCCAATGTTTAGGTTCTGGTTCTGATAATTATTAACTGTGATCCGAAGCAAATTAATTAACCTGTAATGATAATAGTACCTGTACTTTATAAAATAGTTAAAAAGGCAAATGAGACAATAAAAGCAAAATAAATTTGCATATTGCTAGGTAGAAACTAGATAAACGTTAATAATTGTTAGAATATATCTCCGTATATCCCAAGTTACCAGGTTCCAGCAATTCTCCACTGAGAGTCTCTCCTTGCCGTTCCCTTTGCCCTCGGCCTTCACCAATGCGTGCCTTGCTCATACAATATGAAGCAAGAGGGATCCTCTGCAGAGTCTCCTAAGTGGTCCCCCTGCCTCTGTTCTCCCTGTTTTCTGGGAAATTTTCACGTGGCACTCCCTGGCCAACTTGTCAAAACAGTTTTTACTATGCGACTTCTAAACTCAAGTTACCAAAATCCATTTACCAAGTCAGCAGCCAAAAATATACAGCTGGAACTTTTAGTAAAATAATCTACTAGTTCCTCAAATTAATACGACTCTAAATTCTCCAGTGAGCTAGACTTTTAGTGATAACTGGACGGAACCAACGTTTCTCTTTTCTGAATTTAAAACACTCACTGCCTACTCTGAACTAACCCACACATTTAAAACTCACCTACTGCTTTTTCTGCTATTTATTTTTGCTTAAGTCCTCTGCCTACCCCATCCCGCCCCAATGGATGGTAAACTCTTCCTTTATCCAGATCACGTGGGGTGGCTTGGCCTTCACTGGGAGCAACAGAAGGCAGGAAAAGCAACAGCCTGGGGGACTCAACTCCCGTTGAAAAGTCACCACCAGAGGATGAGTTCTACCACAACCTGTTCCTACTATGTTCCCCAGGCAGCGATCACCACCATACGGGAAGGGTGGATTCAAAAGAACATTTAGATCGTCACACAAACTACAATCACCTACAGAAGGAGTTTGTAGCATCCTCGAAATTCCCAAGATCAGAGACTTAATGTTCTTAATTGTAATTTCTTACAGTCCAATTCCATCCCTGTCAGATATCACCCTTGGCCCACTACTAAAATCTTTTGCAAATCCCTCTCCAGAAACTTCTCCAAGGTAGGGAAAGAGAGACTTTTGCTTCACTCATAAACACAGATTATCACTTGTAAAATGTGGATTTTCTATAAACATTAACATGAGGAGGGGGCCCAAAATGTAGGCAACCGGGAATGTGGCCAACGAAGTTCAGTCTCAGACGCTCTGTTCGTCTCCTGACTGCATGAAATGTGAACACACTGCGGTCTCCTCCCCTCATCTTATTTCTCTCTCAGTGTCACCCTTTAATTCATGGATGCAGCATATTTTATTTTTATTAACTAACCCTAATAACTGTCCCTTCTTCAGTATTTAGAATTTCTTTCTCAACAATACTATCAAACAGGAACCGTATTTCATAGGTCTTTGCTTCCCTCACAGAGACTTGGCACACAGTAGAAGGTCTTTTGTTTTTGAGCATTTATTATACTAGGTGCTAGGCATCCTCCCAAGCTTTTGGACAGAAATTTTCACCAAAGCTCAGTATACCTATATACCTAAAATAAAACGATTCATACACAAACAATTCCCCCGTAACTTTAATCCCGTGAAGGCTATTCAACTTGCCAGTATCAGAGATGCCTGCTACCTTTGTTTAAACTTACACTGCCAAACAAAATCAAAAGTTTGGCTCGGTGATGTGTCTTCCGTCTGTAGTCATTCAGCACAGTAAAGAAAGCCAGGTCATGGCTGATAACTCTGTGCCTTTCTTGAATGACACAGGCCCACAGAAACCTCATTGAGTGGCTGTAACACAATCTGGGTTTAAATGAGTTCACATAATAGTATGTCTACTTACAGGACTCAGTTATTCTGTGAAAATAAGATGGGTTTCCATGCTATCAAAGTTAAACTGAAAAGTAAAAATCACAATGTGAGCCAGAGGGAAAGACCACTTCTTCCTCCCACTGTCTCAGGTAAAAGCTTCAGGTTGGGTGGGATCTCACGTTTTCAGATCAGGGTTGTAGAGATAAACAGAAATGGAATTTCAGGTACAACTGGAGAAGCAGTCTTAATTTATGGTTATATCTGGAATAAGATTTTCTTACTATGATAACCACTAATTTATTAATACTTAGAAAATGGAGTACCTTTTGAACAAGAATAGCCCAGATGCAAGCCTGATGATCAAACAGATGATATTGTTTTTGGTCAAAATCAATTTCACAAAAGCATTTAGCCAGCAAGCACATGATAATGGTTAAAGATAAACCATTTGGCCAAGTTCACTCCTTCTGCATCATCTAATTCCAAAAGAATCTCTAATATTTCCAACCAGCCATTTGACCAGATGAGATTAATTCTGAATGAATGATGTTATTGATACAGCAGGAAAACACAGCATCATCTTTTCTGCGATAAATGTCCACATGCCCTTCCTTCTCTTACTCCTTCTCTCCTTGTGACTCTGCTACTTTCTTCCGCTCCCTTTTTTAAATAAAGAACTGGAAAAAGAGAACTAAATGAAATTTCACAATTTTCATTTACTAACCAAACTATGTAATATAGTCTCCACATGTTTACAATTACTTTGAGAATGAGTTTGCTTGCTGTAGAAGCTTTTAACTCTCTAACTACTATTCTCAGAGTTGGAGGAATGTCTACGCAGTCTGGAAGACAGTGTCCTACACAATCACAGACATCATCTATTTCTTTTCAAGCCTTTTCTGTCAGTCAAAAGTATCAATCTTCCATCCTTTTTCTTTTTAATGGTTTGTCAAGGGTTGAGAATTGTGTTTACTTTTACAAACACTTACATTAATTATTCCCTATAAATAACTGCGAATTCACTTTTACACCCATGGAATTACAAGCTGTTCTGTTCACCACAGCTGTTAGCTCAAGATGGACTGCATGGCAGCCTTCAGAGCCACTGCTGCACGTGGACACACACACCACGTCCTCGCTCTGACTGCTCTGTGAGTGCCATAAGCTGCACATATGGGTGCACACAATTACCTAATTACAGTCGTCCCTCAGATGCTTTTAGAAAGAAACGTTAAGGAAGATAATGAGAAAAGCATTTAAGAAAACAGGTTATAAGACATCTTGGCAATCATTCTTTTCTGAAGTTTGCTCCAAGGTAAAATCAAATCTATGAAGAAATGCATTCTCATAAACTGAAACAGTGTAACAGTTCTTATCTAGAATAAAATTCTAAATTCTAGGGCATTCAGTATGGGATTTATAAGGTGGAAAAAGGTGCTTCTGAGGCTAAAATATTTCCAAAGTTTAGTTGACCCAAGGCCTGATCCTTTTCCTCTCTCTCTTGCACATATTATCAATTTGGCAGTTTGCATTCAAATTATCATGAAACCACTGCTTTCTCTTCCTGTCCCATGTTCATGTACGATTTCAGTGGCATTTCTAGCTAAGTACTAGCTCCACAAAGGGGGCAAATAGGACCAAAGGGGACCTTGAAACAATCTGAGAGAAGTAACTGTATTTAAATGTGATAGAAGTTTCCTGTCTATTTTAATAGTCATTTCATTTAAGGGGTTAAAAGATACAATAAAATTTATAATAATACTGCTTACTCTGTCAAGCACAATGTAAATAATTTTTGCAAGAGTTATTTTACTTAATGTATACAACCACCACAAGAATACCTTCCCACCACCTTTTACAAATGAATGCGTATAGGCTTAGAGAGGTGAAGGAAACTTCCAAGGCTTAACGGCTAGTAATTGACCAGGCTAGGACCAAAATCCAGAGATGGAGGATTCTAAAGACCCGGTTCTGACTCAGAATATTATGTGGACTCTCTAAAATACATTTGTCAACAAACGACTCCCCAAAGACCTTGCAGCGTCTGAGTTGGCTTGTCAGGGTAAAACAATGTTTAAAAGAGGAAAAAATAGTTACAGTGACTAGAGAAAGAAAAGCAGGGCTAAGTAAAAAACTATTTATACAAAAAGCGCAAAACACTTTTGAGTACAGAAAGTTTAAAGTGTGATGCTATAATCTGGGGATATAGAGACAGCTAGGCAATGACTAAGATAGAGTCAACACCAGCCATGTTTGTCTCTCTATATACTTCCTAAATCCCTAGAAAACTCTTAACTCCCCTCTTCACTTCAAGTTAGGAATGTTAGAGCTTTCAGTGACTCGGCTATTTTACCCAACAGGATATTTAATGTACCGAAAATCTTAATTAGTTAAAGAATCTGGAAAACTTACACAACATGTAAAATATCAAAAATTTAAAATAGATTATTTTCATTTCCAAATTAACATTCCATGTCATGGACATTATGATAACATGGAAAGAGAGGTGTATACATATATATACATATATATATATGTGTGTGTGTGTATGTGTGTGTTAGGAATAGAAATGGGTGTGCAAGGGAGAAGATGGAAAAAGAAGAATTAGACTCTAAATAGAAACCATGTCAAAATCACTTATTAGATGCATCTTATCTGTTTTGACACATACTAAAGAACATTTCTGTCACAAGGAAGTGAACATATTCTTTTCTGGTGATTTACTACTTTTCAAGAAAGACTATTAGGATCTGAAGTCACTTGTCTCAATTTCAGTGTACCTCTTTCCCTCTCCATTTCCTAACAGCATCCTCCAAATAAAATCAAGGTTGGTGACTAAAATTTTGTGAAATTATTTATACAACATATTATTTGGCTCAAATTATACCGCCTCTTATTCTTCCACGCAACCAAACTCACTAGCTGTTGCTCTCTACTAGAATTTATTATGGAGAGGTAGCAGCCTCTTGCATTGGTAGCCCCCAGTGGAC